AAGCTTCCAGCATAATCAATAATAATATTACCAACTTTGATGCAAACGTTCTTCACCCACAGGCCAGGTGCTTCACCATGAAAATGGAAGTCCCTTAGTCCCTACTCTATCATCCAAGGGGATGAAACATCTTTCATTTATTCACCGGGAGATTTTCTGTTTTCTTCTTCTTCTTCTTCTTCCTCTTTTATTTTTTATATATAATTGGTAAGTTGCAGAAAGATATGTCTGCAAACATCAGAATTATGTCCTTTTTTTCCTTTTGGCCGGTCAACCTCGGTTTCGCTTTTTTGACAAGCATTGCATGGTGTTTACATCAGCCTCTTCTTAAACAGCTGCATACGCTGTTTCTGGGTTCCACACTTCTTTTCAACCACCTCCAAGCTCCAGCCCCCTTCTAAAACCCAAACAAACAATTGCATGATCATGTTAATGCTAAAATCGGTTAGCTAGAACCAATCTCAAATTGATGTAGTGAGGGCGTGCCAGAACCACTTGTGTGGTTCAAGTGTAAATTGTCAACTTTAGTCCCTTTGAGCAAGTTGACTTTCATGCGATGCGAGGAAAAAGGGAACAATAAAATTCCTCTTTTGAGTTCAATAATGCCTTAGTTAAAAGGACTTTATCAGTGAATAATATATAGTAACGTGTCAAGAGAATAGAAAGGGGAAGAAATAGATATAGAAAAATGATAGGGAGAAGAGACAGATAGAAAGAGATATAGGGAGAGAAATAGAACGAAACTAAAATAGAGAATGAGAGATATAGATATAACAATGATGCTATTTGAGGAAAGTGCTTGAGAAAGCAAACAAAATAGTAAATTGATTCTGAAGGTGATGGACCTCTTGCACAGCATGCCTCTTTAATTATTTATAGAATGAATTGTAAAACAAATACCTACAAACAAGAATTCTAATTACAATAAAACTCTATATCATTCAAACTAAACAAATCCTACAGATAGCTTAACTAACTACCACTTTAAAAATAAATAATCCTAGATAAACACAAGCTCAAAAAATCATATAAATCTTATTCCTCAAGAAGTTCAAAAAATATTCAATCTGATTAGTAATGCCCTTGTGTAGAACCTGCCACGTCACTACACCAATGCTATCCCATCTGCAGCCCAAGTCCAGTGCTTAATCCATGCCTCCAAGCCCGAATTCCTTACTGCATCCTTCAGCCCAATGTCTTCTCACAATCTACGTCCTTGCCAATTAAATTGCTAATCCAAACCATCTTCAGCCCAATCATAAATCAGTCCAATCATAAATCCATAGACCAAATATCCTCTATGGCCCATGTATTAAAATGGGTCTATAACCCAAATGCCAAAATGAGTGTCAACAATGCTTCCCAATTTTGGTAGCCGTTTTAACCCTTCGGCTTCCAAAATTTAAATACACCCATTGCATCATAATGTTGTTCACACCATATATCTTCTTCATCCGTATCAAGAATGAAGTTCCCAAAAAATGCCGATCATGCTACCCTATCTTATCAACCACTAATTAGGCTGTAATAATCCTTTCATTTCCCAACTAAAACACTGCTCTTCCTTCATTTGATCAAAGCTTTGCACCTTTAACATAACTCTTCTCCCAAAAATGCTTCTTTTCTCTAAAATCTCTCTGAAACGTAGTCTTCTTCCTCAAATCAGACCATTTTTTCCTTTCATTATGTCTTCAAAAACGCAAAAACATGCCGGTCTCGTTTTGGAAACTCCCATACCAGAATCTACTTTGCACACACACATAACCAAAAAAGCAATCAAAACCCTAGCACCTTCTAAAATTGACACTTCGATTCTTATTGATTTGCCCAATAACGCTAAAGGCCTTGCCCAGCTTTCCTCAACCTATCACCTCCATTGTTATCCTCGTTTTATCCCCAAGGAGAGGAACATCTTCTTTTTTCTAAGCCAATTTACCAAACTGCAGAAGGCGAATGGCCATTTTTATCAATCAGGAATTGGCACCCTCCCATGCTTCAATGAAGCGAGTGGGTGGACTGTCTCTCTGCAGCAAAAGGTGAATTGTGGAAGCGCATGGGCATATTTGACCTTATCCAACTGAGTAAAATCCTTCTGACTTTAGATAAATCTTTATTTTTTGCATCTTTGCATTTCTGGTCTCCCACGACCAACTCATTACACTTGTACTATGGGATGATGTCTCCCACCCTTCGTGATGTATGCTTTCTAACCGGTCTCAAGCCTGGAGGGGATGATATTAATTACCTCCTCCAGGACCCTGAGACGACATTTAATTTCCCTAAGCAAGAAGGATCCAAACCATTTGTCCAATCTCATGGTCCATTCTTGATAGAAATGTTTGGTGATTTCGGATCTGAAGTAAATGAACAAGAACACATAGGATTTTTACTGTTATGGTTGTGCAGACACTTGTTATATGCTCCAGCCATTCAAATTACCAAGGACCTTACACAATTGGCCATTGCCCTATCCAAAGGTAAAGCTATGGCTTTTGCGTCATTTCTCTTGGCGTCATTATACCGAGGAATATCAAACCTTATTGTATCAAACTTTTCAAGGTCTAGGGGGCCGTTTTGGCTTTATCAATTCTGGCTTCAGGCTTACTTCCCTGAATTATCACCCACTATCCAACTTGCAGCAAATGATCCCCTGATATCCTTTGGTTATGCCAGAGCTAAACCCAAAGACCAGTCTTTCCTAGATTATTTTCTTTTCTTCTATCATCAATGTACCTTTCGAACTCATGCTTAGTTTCTTCCTTTTGCAAACTGTCGATTAGCCATTTCTTGGTTATTTCCTCCTATAGCTGAGTCTTTTACTGAACAAATAAAAGCATACAAAAATGCTTGGGGTCACTTTTTAATTGCAAAAGATATTTCCTGCAACACTGTTGTTCTTCATATTGCCAAAAGCAGAATTGGGGTAGAGTTTTACAACCCATCACAATTTGCCAGACAATTTGGGTTAACCCAAATGATTCTTGTGCCCCCTCATTTCTTACACAACAAGAACTACCACAGGAGAGTAAAACTTTCAGAGATCGATCAAATCAGAGAAGTAACCAATAAATTTCAACAATCCCTACAAAGTTTCCAATACAAAGAATTTGCAGCAGAACCTTACACTGACCCATCTTTTGAGAAATGGTGGGCGGCATATGACAATTTTACCAGGACTTAAGATGCTACTTAATTGATTCACAATCTTCTTAGATCATACAAATTCATATCTCTGTCCTTTCAAGGAGGAGAAACCATCATACCTGTTGTTCTTGCCACAGCTCCTACACCAGAAGATAAACCCATTAAATCCACAAGTCATGTTCTACCTACAACTCCAGCAGGTAGAACTAGATCACGCTCTCGGCAGAGTAAGTTATGGTCCTCATTTCATCTCATCAATAATATTATCTACACTTCAATATAGACTTGTTATTGTTTAAAACTGCAGGTGCTCCCCCCTCTGCAGCGGAAGGAACGAACCCAACTTTGTCAGAATCAACCCCACCTGATCTCTACACTCCTCTTCAAAGCATACCTCCTGTAACTCTTACTCAGGTAGCACTTATAATCAAACTTCAACCATTCTTTTATTCATACCTTTTTCTGCTAATTCTTTTTATTCCAGAAGAAAACAAGAAAGAAAATTGTGGGAAGAAAGCCTGCTAAAAAATCAAGGGCAAAAGACACTTCGTCTTGATTGATGATGATGACAACGAAGATGAAGATGAGGTTGTGTCCAAGAAAAAGAAATCTACCACTGAAACTCCCATGGTAAAATTTCTTCTTGCCTGATTACATTTTTGTCAATCATTATAACTAAATCGGCATAAATTATAGGAAACTCCACCTTCTTTAGAACAAAAGTCAAATCAAGACTTTACTGTGGACACCATTGAAAAGGAAAGAGTTGAATTTTCAGCAGAGCAAGAACAAAAACCTTCAGGAAAGATCTCTCTAGCTTCCTCTCAGCATTTAGCTTCAGTTCCAATGAAATAGCAGATTAGAGATTCTGAGGAAGTAAATATCTAAAATAAACATGATATTTATTTATTTATCTATGATTGAAACTGATTCAAGATATTGCAGGTGCAGAAAGACCCTTCTTCTCCTATTGTGCTTGCAAGATCCAACCCGAGTTCACCATTCACCACCTTGGATTCTCTATTTAATTCTGTGTTTGACTCCTTAGATCCTAAACCTGCTACAATCCCAACCGAGAACCCCACTGAAACTCCATTAGAAGTAGTTCAGGTTGTGGAAATATTACTCCAAATGCTTCAACAAGATCTGTCATTTGTCCCCTCTTTCAAGGAAGAACTTACCGAGACCCTTTCCTTCCTGAGTAGCTACCGAAGATTCTCCCTGAAGGACCAAACCTTTTTCAAGAACTTTCAACTTCAAGTCCCCTCCATAATCATTGCTTATTCCGAGTCCACTCAAGCTCTTAAACATTGTGTTGCTCAAACCCAAGAGAAAGAACTACTTGCCCAATATTTAAAATGTGGAAGAGAACTTCACCTGTCCTTGATGAAAGAAGCTGCCACTGTGGATGCCAAGGAAAAAAAACTTCAAGCAGAACTAGCTTAGCTTCAACAAGATAAATCTCAACACGGCAACAAGGTAGCAGATTTGAAAAAACAAGCCAAAGTTGCTGCGCCCAAATTCAAAGTACTACAGGCACAAGCGCCAAAGCTAGAGCAATCCAAGAAACAGGAAGAAACCAAACTCCAGCAAACTACAATCTCTTGGGCTAACTTTAAGGCCAAATTTGAAGACTTTCATAAGAACTTTCCCCAACTTTGAACAATTAGCGCTCTCTCTTTTTATAACAGTCTGTAATATGGTTTTAAACAATTTGCTTTTTTGGGAATATGATGTTTTGAACAGTCTTGCTACAATGATATTTTGATCTTTAAAGTATACTGAGATTTTATTCACTGTATAAACAAACTTATCCATAATTTGCTCAAAAGCAAAAAGGCAAAATATAATCCAAACTATTTTGACTTAACTGGAAATTTCTTTTCTTCCATAAGCTCAAAAATAGTTGGCTTGTACTTTTTAAGGTACCTTCTATTTATTGGCCTTTCATGCACTTCACCATCTAAATTTTTCAACTTGTAAGCTCCTCTATGCAATACTTGGTGAACCAGATATGGGCCCTTCCAAGTAGGTGACCATTTTCCATAAACTCTACTCACCTTTCCAGGTGGAAAAATTGTTTGCCACACCATATCACCCTCTTCAAATGACTTAAACTTCACCCGTTTGTTGTAGGCCTTCATTACATTTTCTTTATAGACCATAAGGTGGTCTAAAACAAGTTTCTGAACTTCATCTAAATCCTCGAACTCAGTAAGCATAGCTTGATTGTAATCGGCAGGTATAAGATTGTGTTGCAAAGCTACTCTTGCCAATTTCACATTTAACTCCATTGGCAGCACAGCATCATGGCCAAATGTAAGCCAATAAGGAGTTGTCCTAGTACTTGTTCGCTTCAAATTTCTATAAGCCCACAAAGCTTCTGAAAGGGTTTCATGCCAACGCCTCGGCTTGTCTTTTATCATTTTCTCAATAATTTCAATAACAACTTTATTTGAAGCCTCTGCTTGGCCATTCCCTTGAGCATAATAGGGTATGGAAGTTACCATTTTTACTTGCATATCAATGCCGAGTTGTAATACTTCATTTGCTCGAAACACAGACCCATTATCGGCAACAATTGTTTCTAGTAAGCCAAATCGGTGAAAGATATGTCGCTCCAGAAACTGTATCACCGTGTTATGATTTACCAATACGTATTCCTCGACTTCTACCCATTTGGTAAAGTAATTGGTAGCTAAAATAATCTAATGATGACCCTTTGATGAAAGAGGATTAATCTTGCCAATTAGATCCATGGCTCAACCTCTGAAAGGTCATGGTTTAACTAATAATTACATTTCTATTGTAGCAACCCACTGCGTTGGGCCATGCTTTTGACAGTCTATATAACCCTTTGCATAAGTCATATAATCTTTTCTCATTCCAGGCCAATAATATCCACATCGGCGTATAAACCACCTTATTTTTATGCCGGCTTGATGAGCTCCACATATCCCTTCGTGTACCTCGGCCATAATCTTCAAACCCTCAAACTTACTAATGCACTGAAATAACAAACCATCATCAGCCGATCTTCTATAAAGATCTGCATCCATAAGCACATAATCAACTGCACTTCTTTTTATTCTTCAGTCGGCTTCTGGAGTTGGATGTTGCAAGAACAAGATGTAAGGGATTCGCCAATCATCATCATCCAACTCGGCAACATCAGTGGCAAAGACTTCTTCCATAACTTGATTTCTTGTTTCAGCCGATGGAAGAGATCGGTGTGTGATTTTCATTATCCTTTCCTTCATACCACTTGGCACCCTGACTCCTGAAACAGTCTGTGCTAAATCATTAGCTATTTTATTCATAGCCTTTGGTCTGTATTCTAAAGTTACATTATGAAATTGGTTGACCAATTGGGTTGCCAATGAATGGAATGGCCTTAATTGCTAATTCAAGCATCTAAAGTCTTCTGAGATTTGATTAATCACTAAACTCGAATCTCCCACAATGTGGACATCTTTAACTGCCATTTATAGCAGAATTTCCAAGCCGATAATCAATGCTTCATACTCGGCTTGATTATTTGAGCACTTGAAATCCAAAAAGAAAGAAAACAAAATTTGGTTCCCTGTTGGGGATATTATCACGATGCCAGCTCCTGAGCCTTCACTAGTACTCGACCCATCGAACATTAAAGTCCATGGAGTCATGAATATGGATGCCGAGTCAAGCTTATAAAATACTTGTAACTCAATTTCAGGCGAGGGATGATCGGCAAGAAAATCCGCCAATGCTCTTCCCTTAATTGCCTTTTGTGAAACATATGCAAAGTTGAACTCCATTAGTGCCAAAATCCACTTGCCAATCCGACCTATGATTAATGGCTTTGATAGCATTTACTTTATAAGATTGGTTTGACAAACAATATAAACCAAAACAGGCAACATATAGACTCTTAATTTCATTGCTGTAAAATACAAAGCCAAACATAATTTCTCAATCGGTGTATATCTACACTCGACTGGAGTTAAAACTCGGCTGAGATAATATATTGCTTGTTCACTTCCTGCTTCATTCTCTTGTGCTAATATACTTCTCATGGATTCTTCAGCAGCTGATAAGTATAACTTCATCGGCCATTTCTTCCTTGGTGGCATCATGACAGGAGGACTTGATAAGTATTTATTAATCTGGTCAAATGCCCTTTGATGTGTATCATCCCATTTGAATTCTTCCATCGGCTTCAGCTTGAGTAGCGGGGAAAACACATGTAACTTCCCAGCTGTATTAGCAATAAATCTCCTAAGATAATTCACTTGCCCAAGTAACCTCTGCAACTGTTTCTTACTACTCAGCGCACTAGCATCAATAATTGCCTTAGCTTTATTCCTATCGATCTCTATACCCCTTTGATAAACCAAGAAACCCAAAAAGTTTCCTACTGATACTCTAAAGGCATACTTTATTGGATTCATTTTTAACTTATGAGCCCTCATCCTCTCAAAAGATGCTTTGAGGTGGACTAAGTGCTCTTTCTTCGTTGCTGATTTCACCACCACATCATCAATATATACCTCCATAAACTTTCCGAGCATATCATGGAAAATAAAATTCATGGCTCGCTAATATGTGGCACCAGCATTCTTCAACCCAAAAGGCATTACCACCCATTCAAAAGTTCCAATCGATCTGGGACACCTAAAAACTGTCTTTGGAATATCCTCATCAGCTATATAAATCTGATTATAGCCTGAGTGTCCATCCATAAAAGACATATTTGGTGCTTTGCAGCTGCATCAATCAGTTGATCGGCTATCGGCATTAGATACTCATCTTTTGGAATTGCCAGGTTTATGTTTCAGAAATCCACACATACACGTAATTTTCCATTCTTCTTGAGAACAGGAACTACATTTGATAACCATTCAACATACCTTGTAGTTCGAATGAAGCCAGCATCCAATAATCGTTCGATTTCCACTTTAACTTTATCTACCACTTCTTGAGACATTCGACGAAGTGGCTGTTTATATGGCTTGTAACCATCTTTAATGGGCAGCCGATGTTCCACTAGATCTCTGGATAAACCCGGCATCTCCTCATAATTCCAAGCAAAACAGTCACTGTATTGCTTCAACATGTCGATAACCTCGGCTTGCAATTCTGGTTCTAACAGTGCACTGATGCAAGTTGGTCTAAGCTTTGCGTCAGTGCCTAAATTCACCTCCTTTAAAGGATCCTGAGTTTCTGCTTTAAGATCATCGAGCTTAGCCGATGCTAATTCCAAGTCTTCCAACTGGATTGCATCCAACTTTTCATTATCGAATCAATCGACCTCAGTAAGATTAACCGATGGTCCTGGCTCTACTATTGCTTCTTTCTCTAGCCGTTTTTCGGCTATGTATGCTTGTAACCTAATGCAAGCGGCCCTAAAGGCCTGCTGTCGAGCTGCTTCTCTTTTAAGTTTTGCTTCCATAAACAACTTCTTCTTCAATTATAGTAAGCCGAGGGAATTCTACCTTCGGCCTAGAATTCTCCTGCTGCAACTCGCCGATTTCACGATCGGCAAGGCTTCTTCTTATGGTTGCCGATGTTGGTCTTCCATCGGGTCCTGTTCCCAATCGAATAGGAACACATTCTTCGTTATACAAAACAGCATCTGCCGAATACACTTTTGCCACAAATAGCTTATCATCGACATTCACTATTTTCACCTTATCTCCATCCCAAAAAATCAGCATCTGGTGTAATGATGATGGGATGCACATATTTGGATAAATCCAGTCACGGCCTAATAACAAATTATAGGAAGCCGTGGATTCAATAATAAAGAATGCCGTAAAAGATGTGCTACCTCCAACTTCTACTTCTAAGGGAAGGATCCCTTTAGTGCTAGTAAAGCCTCCGTTAAAACCACAAATTGCTACATCAGTAGGAATAACATCTTCCATACTCTTGCCGAGTTTTTTTAGTGTGTTTGCTGGAATAACATTTAGAACCAAGCCATTGTCTACCAAGACTCAATTAATAGGTTAACCTTTTACCCATACCTTAACATACAAAGGCCTGAGTTATTGACTCATTGCTAACAAAGATTTCTCAAAAACCATTTTTTCTGCCGATTCTGAAGAAAGAATTGATAAATTCTAAATCGGCTGAGTTTCTTTCTTATTCTTCTCAGTATTTGCATTTGATGCCGATGGAGCCTGGAACATTGTTGGTAATACAAATGCCATGTTACATGACATCTCATCTGGGAAACTGCCAAACTAAATTTTGAACCCATTGTTGCGTCTGGGCCACGTTGGTTAATGCTCCTCATCCGGTTCATCTTTCTTTCCTCAGTTTTCCTTTTTTCCTCAGCCCTTCTCCTTTGTTTCCTATGTTTCTGAGATCAAGTTAGGCCCCCATTCTGATATTGTTGAGTTTTAAGGAATTTCGGATGATTAACTCGAGTCCATCTATCTTCAGTTGAGTCTGTCCTTGGTTCACAGTTCGCACTTTATATGAATCGGCTCCTTTCTGTATCCAAATTTCTGACTGAACCAGCGACTGCCTCTTAAAACTAGGATGCCGATTTTGGGGATGAAATCGGCTAGATATATATACTTGCCGAGTTTGCTTTCCCGCCTTCAAATGACTGCTGCTAGGACCACCTTACCAAGGCTCTTCCCCAGGCTTCAATAGGAAAATAAGCCTCTCAAGAATTCTTTTCTTCTTTGGTTGAACCTCTATTGGTACATCTTCCTTTGGTTTTTGCTTTCCTTTGTAATTTGGACAACAACCATGGTCAATCAAGGCTAATTGAGCCTCCCTTAATTGCTTCTGCAGTTCTGCCATCTTTTCAGGTATCGCAATTGATGAAAGGAACTCACCAGATATCTTTTTAGCCTCCTACCGATTCTCTTGCTTAGCTAAGCTTATCACATTTGTAGATGTGATTGTAGGAAATGGATTAGTATCCATTTTCATAGTCTCTGAAGTTTTCTCCGAGAATTTTAAAGTAACTTTGTCAATAGATTTCTGCAATACACCTCGTAGAACAGTACAATCATTAGTAGCATGGTTCCAAGAGTTATGATACTTACAATACTCTTTTCTTTTTAAGTCACTTGCCGATGGAATCTTATGCCCTTTAGGCAAGGATATCATTTTATCGGCCATCAAGTGATCAAAGATTTGATCTGTTTTCGACAAGTCAAAAGAATAACTTTTCCCGGTATCGACAGGACATTTCCTTGCTGCCGATGTTGATGTTGATGATGCATTGCCCCCCGTGGTCGGTTTAGGTTTAACCAACTCCTCACAAACGTATGGCTTTTTGATATTAACTTTTACAACGTCAACTTCTAATTCATCTCTAACTTCTGTCGAGAATACCTCATAATCAGGGTCCTTGTACCAAGTACCCTTAGAAGAATTCTTCTTCTCTTTCTCTTCTTTTAGTATTTCCTCATACCGAGAAGCCATGTCTGCTAAGTCGAAGAGATCTTGAAACTCAACCCCATCAAACCTCTTGCGATGTTCAATGTCTAGACCTTTTAATGCCAACTTGATGTATTCTGGTTCAGGCAAACTTACTCGGCATTTAAGTTTAGCCTTTCTGAACTTGGCAACAAAAGTCTCAACTGATTCGCTCGGCAACTGAGATAATCGAGATATGTTTGCCAATGTAACTTCTGTCTCTGTTCGGTAGAATTAGGTATGGAATGCCTCCTCCATCTTATCCCAAGTCTGAATAGAATTGGCCGGTAAGTTGCTGTACCATTCAAACGCCGCCCCGGCAAGAGAGCTAGAGAATAACCTCATCCTTAACCAAGTGCTAGGACCTGCTTCTCCACATTGTGCGGTGAACCTTGCAATATGTTGCACCGTAGAGAAATTCTCTTCGCCACTGTACATAGAAAAATCGGGATACGGATAATTTCTAGGCAACTTATTAGCATCGACATGATCAGGATAGGGTTTTCTGTATACCGGGCGAGCACGTCTGCGACCTTGTGCTACTTCGGCCTGTATTAAAGCCAAAATCTGAGCCCTATCAATCCCTGCATTTCTTCCTAGAGGATCATTTAGGTGCCGCGGAATGAATGGATTAACCCACTCCCTTTGATGATCGGCATTTACTTGCCCCCCAGCAGCCGCTAGAGGTATCAATGGATTAGCCCTACCTTGGTTTAGGTTGCCTACTACTTCTTGCTGATCTCTCGCTGGTGGAATCGACTGCACATGTGGACACTACACATTCTGATTATGCTGATCATTAATTGGTGGCTGGTACACTGGCACAGTATTCACTGCCGGCGGATCTGATAAGATTGGTGGATTCCCTATTGGCGTGCCGAGTATATGATTCGGCACATTGCCGATAGTAATACCAAGTCCTGCATTTGGCGGTACGATGCTTGTTCAAGGCCCTTGGGAAATATGTATCAATGGTGTCGTCATACGCTGAAATATGGACTCATTAATATGAGATGCTTCGGCTTGATCATGTCGATTTTGATTAGCCGATATACTGGTTTCAAGCCTCTGATTCATCTTCTCCATTTGAACGTACATTATCTGATTTAATTCCCCAGTCATTGACCTCATCTTATGTATCTGAGAAACCAAAATTTGATTTGATTCCCCCACCTGAGACCTTACTTCCGATCTGTGCTTGCTGGGCATCAATTTTCTGCATAATCGATTCTAGTACCCAACCCAAAGGAAGATCGGATGGAATAGATGAGTCGGCATCATCACCAACGCCGAGTTGTTGGTTTTCTTCATCAATATTGTCACTTTTAGTTACGCCTTTCGAATTTCTTAGCTTTGGAGGCATATTTACTATAATTACTCACCTGATGGGTCCCACTGGGTGTGCCAAAAATGTTGACGCTAAAATCGGCTGGCTAGACCGATCTCAAATTGATGTAGTGCGAGCGTGCCAGACCACTTGTGTGGTTCAAGTGTAAATTGTCAACTTAGTTCCTTTGAGCAAGTTGACTTTCAGGCGATGCGAGGAAAAAGGGAATAATAAAATTCCTCTTTTGAGTTCAATAATGCCTTAGTTAAAAGGATTTTATAAGTGAATAATATATAGTAACGTGTCAAGAGAATAGAAAGGGGAAGAAATAGATATTGAAAAATAATAGGGAGAAGAGATAGATAGAAAGAGATATAAGAAGAGAAATAGAACGAGACTGAAATAGAGAAGGAGAGAGATAGATATAGCAATGATGCTATTTGAGGAAAGTGCTTGAGAAAACAAACAAAATAATAAATTGATTCTGAGGGTGCTGGACCTCTTGCACAGCATGCCTCTTTGATTATTTATCGAATGAATTGTAAAACAAATACCTACAAACAAGAATTCTAATTACAATAAAACTCTATATCATTCAAACTAAACAAATCCTACAATAGCTTAACTAACTACCACTTTAAAAATAACTAATCCTAGATAAACACTAACTCAAAAAATCACATAAATCTTATCTCTCAATAAGTTCAAAAAATATTCAATCTGATTAGTAATGCCCTTGTGTAGAATCTGCCACGTCACTACACCAATGCTATCCCATCTGCAGCCCAAGTCCAATGCTTAATCCATGCCTCCAAGCCCGAATTCCTTACTGCATCCTTCAGCCCAATGTCTTCTCACAATCTACGTCCTTGCCAATTAAATTGCTAATCCAAACCATCTTCAGCCCAATCATAAATCCATAGACCAAATATCCTCTATGGCCCATGTATTAAAATGGGTCTACAACCCAAATGCCAAAATGGGTGTCAACAGATCACACACACAATGGCTGTGTGAGTTTCTTGCCAAGGGAGAGAGAAAAAAAAAATCTACATGGATATTGAAGCCCAAATTACTATTTGTGCTTGATGGAATTTGCATCACACTGTCTCCACCATTTCATCCTTGCATGTGATCACAGGATTGAATATGTGGAAATCAAGGAAAGGTCTCCAAGTAACAATCCAGATTAAACCAGTTTAATAACCATTCTAGACAGGAAAAAATAAGACATCAATAATGATAAAGGACCAGTTTGGTAACACCTGGGGAAAGGAAAAAGTAAGGTAACACATGACACCAAGGACTAGTGTATATATTTCATCCTTTAGCAGACAGATTTGTCTCCTGCTTTCTATTGGATCAATCCCTTAACTGGACCGGAGCCCTCTGATATGATCCTGAAGGATTTAAGAACTTATGAGACATCTTTGTGATGATTCGTCAATTTAGAACTCTATGCATACTCTAAGAACAAGAAGGACAACAAGCATATATAAGCCAACCATACAACAACATCCAATCCAGCAGTGGTGAAACCCAGACTGCTAACTGATTGAGCACTGAAGTAATCCACGGTGTTTTTAGACATTCAGATTGATCAATAATAGCAGTCAATACCTTCAAGCATACTGACCAAAAAAAAAAAAAAACAGCATACTGAGAAAAGAGAAGAGATTTTACTTATAAATAAATAAAAGAGATTTCAGCAGAGGGGGATTTTGCCAGTATGTTGTGGATTTGTAGACTGACCTAACAAAGTCCACCTTCTATGTCTTGAGTATTGTAAGGCACTAAACCAGGACGCTTCCAGCCGATTTGAGGGTTGGATTCATTGAAGTTCTATGAACTGGACTCTTTGATTGATTATTTCAAGTAGGTTCTGTTGTGATCGTAAATGGGTATAGTGAGGCCGCAGATGGAACATTCTACCTTTCGGATCATTCTGATGCATTGGCATCTCTTCAGTAGGCTTCCCAAATAAATGAGCTGCTTACTTGCATCAACAAAGGAAACAATCCTTATTCCTGCTTTCAATGGGCCTTGTTCATTCACCACAGAAAAGCAAGAAATTCTTGTGTCAGATTCAATCAGAAAACTATTCTTTCATGCATAGGGCCTACATATGAGAGAGATGGAGGTTGCAGCAGTGGTGGTGGTGAAGTGTTAGAGGTAGGGTTTTAGAGAGAAACGTGTGTGTGAGTGTGTGTGTGTGTGAGAGAGAGAGAGAGACAGAGACAGAGAGAGTGACAGATAAATTAGACTACATTTGATTTGGAGTTACAGTTTGGTAATTGCGGATTCCGCAAAGGAATTGGTGGCAGCAGCAGTAGTTGCGGTGCTGGAGAGAAGAGAGAGCAAGTGTATGTGTCAGTGGTGGTGTGGGGTGAAAGTGAGGGTCTAAAGAGAGAAACAGGTGATACACGCATGCGCAGAGAGAGAGAGAGAGAGAGAGTGGTGTAGGAACCTGAACTGGATATGAAAAGAGAGTAGGTTTGCTTGCAAATAACACCTGGATATGAAAAGAAAATTAAGAGATTAAATAGAAGGCATAATGGTCTTTTCCCTTTTTTTAGTCATTCCTGGAATTTTTTTATTAAAAACTTATTACAATAATATGAGGTAAAAATGTCAAACACCTCAATAATTTAACACTGTTTATTCAACAAACCCTGAAGGCGTCAGTGTGATTTTCGCAAAACTTAATCTGAGGCAGGTCGGGGTAATCTCCATTTTGCCTAGACTGAAATCTTTAGAAATAAAGATTTTTCGCAAACCATTAACCTGATGATTAACTTGTACAATTTTGCAAACCATTAATCTGATTATTAACTTGTACATTTTGCTTAGATTGAAATCTTTAGAAACAAGCTTAGAGAGATGACACAATTCCATTTTATGGTCAACAATGATGGAAAAGATTGCCGCGTAGTTGCCGCGCTGATCAGAAAAATCTTCTGTGAGAATAATTGAACAATAACAGAGTATCAGAATGTTGATTTGATACTTTAGATTATTCGATTGGTATCATCAGAGAAAAAAAAAAAAAAAAACAACAACTCAAGTGTTCGTTGCAGAGATTAAGGTACACAACTTGTTATTTCGGAAGTTAAGGTACACGACTTCCGGTACAAAAGGTTGCCTTGTTATATGCCGCAGTACGAAACCAGGATCGGATCCCAGAAATAAATGGTGCATAACATAATTGAATCCAGAGATGAAAAAAATTAGAACATGTATCAAAGATGGTCATCGCCTACTAAAGAAAAAGCTAAGGCAATTCAAAGAGTAAACGATACCAAAGCTAAAATAAAGCTTAAAAGTACCCATTTAACAAAGAGTGCATGTCACATTGTCATGTTCTTGCTACAATGACTTAAAAATTCACTGCAAAACAGACCCATCGAAGTTTTAATACCTACTTTGAAATTAAAAGAGATTTTACCCAGTAATCATGGTTCCGGCCCCCTCGTCTGTGAGAATCTCGAGGAGCAACGAATGCGGCAAGCGCCCATCGATGATACTCGCCGTCCGAACCCCCTGCGCTAGCGACCTCACGCAACAGTTCAACTTCGGAATCATCCCACCTGCAATCTTCCCATCTTCCATCATCTTCTTCACCCCTTTTATATCAATCTCCTTCACCAAAGTCCCCGGATCGGCCTTGTCCTCCAGAATCCCCGGCACGTCCGTCAGCAGAATCAGCTTCTCAGCCCCCAATGTCGCCGCCAACTCCCCGGCTACAGTGTCCGCATTGATATTATACATCTGACCTTCGTCGTTAGCCGACACCGACGCAATAAATGGTATATGATTGTCCTCGATGTGCCGTCGGAGGGCGGATGGGTTCACGCTGGCGACCTCTCCGACGAATCCCAATTGGGCTGATTTGGAAGACGGGCGGGCGGTGAAGAGGCGGCCGTCGATGCCGGAGAAGCCGATGGCGGTGGCACCGGCCTTGTTGATCAACGAAACGAGGTTCTTGTTGACCTTTCCGATGAGGACCATAGAGACGATTTCCATGGTGGACGAGTCGGTGACTCGGAGGCCGTTGAGGAAGTGGGCTTCGATGCCCAATCGACCCAGCCACTGGTTGATCTCGGGCCCACCGCCATGGACGAATACAATGCGGATGCCGACGCAGGACAAGAGCACGATGTCGGTGATGACGGAGGCCTGGCGAGACTCGGATTCCATGGCTGCGCCTCCATACTTGACTACGACGGTCTTGCCTCGGAATTTCGGGATGAACGGCAGACTTTCGGCGTATATGTTGACTCTCATCTGAGGGATCAATGCCGACTTGTCTTATTCAGAAAGAATTATCGGCGAACGAATCGTGGGTGATACTGATGCCTCAGACATGTCTGTTCTGTTGCTGTCTGGATACAGAAATTGGTTACGGGTAGCTGGGGCGGGGCGGGAGGCAGATCGAGTAGATGCAATCTTTCCTTTGGAGATGACATATACGGTACAAAAATCTGGCACCCCTTTTAATACACTGCCTGGAATCTCCGTCACTTTAAATCTCCTGTTAAATAACATTACTGAACTCTGAATTTTGCCATCTCGTTTTTGCATTCTTTTGTAGATAGATTACATGAATCCATATAGCATGCTAGCAAGATATGTTGATATTTCTCAATAAAACTTAGGTTGCTTGTTGACAAAAGAAGCGTGGATCTAGCATGAATTTTTTCTTTTTCTTTTTCTTTTTTGGCACTATATTCAGCAAGAAATGTTCACAGTATCATTTTGTTTGAAGTTTTCAAGTTATGTTATTTATATGTTCAATCTTAATTTATATTTACATGCAAAGGAATTTCATATATTATTGTTATATACCACCGCTCTCTTCCCCCATTGCATCAGTAATTCTATATTGTATTATATTGAATTGATTCTGGAGGATGAATTTGCGCCCAAAATGCAACAGAAAACAAAATGGGATTATGATACAACGCAAATGCGAGGAAAAAAGATTTTGACTCTAACTTTGATATCCAAAATAAGTTTCTCAAGTTCAAATGTTTTGACTTTTATGATAGACTTTCTTTAGATGTCTAAAATGGGGTCTGATATTTTTGTATATTACAAACAAAGCCTGCTTATTAACTGTCCTACATTATTTTGCCTTCAGGGTATTGCTATTATATATAGATAAACATCAAAAGCCAAGATTATATAGCATCCTTAGAAAAATAACAGAAAATGTTTCGTAATTGTAAAATAGTGAAGGAATAAAAAAGGGCATTACCTAGTTTTAGTCCCGCTGCAGCAGGATCCCGGGGAGGGCTAGAGATAGACCAAGCCTTTGATTTTTCATAAAGATAATTCTAAACTAGTTATACAAGAAAACTCCTGCGGCTTCATTAGCTCTAGGCAAATTCAATTTAAGATATAACGGAAGACTTGTTCTGAAGTGTAGAACCTAAATGATACTAACCAGGATGCCTTCATCAAAATATTGGATAGTTATCCATTACCATTTCTGATGTTTCTGAATTTCACCATTTTCCATTTTTTCAGAGTTTTTGTTGTTACAAGGTCATTTTCGTCTTTTGCCGTTTTGCGAACCGGACACTTTAAAGTGTGCCAGTTGTGTCAGAGAGTTATTTGGGGCATTTCATAGAGTCCAGGACTTTCACATTTTTTTAGTTTTTCGGGCTTGACGGCTCCGTGTGGGACTCGTTACCGGAACTGTCGCTTACGGAGTTTTTGTTTGGGTCGATTAGCATCATATCAATTTTATTAAATGTATTTTATGTGGTTGCAAATTAATATGTACATATGTGTATACATATGTGTGTAGTGTAAATTAAAGATAAAAGAAAAAGGAAAAAATAAATAAATAAATAAATAAATCTAAAAGGAGGTGAGACCCACCATTAAGCCATTTAAGGCCTTGAGACCACCGGTCTCTCATTTCTCTCCTCTCTCCCACTGGATGCTCTCTTCCTTCTCTTTCTTGAATTTTTTCTTTTTTTTTGAGCTTTAATTTTGCTCCTCCATTTTTTGGTCGATTGGTCACAATTCCGGTCTTGGTTCCTTGACGGAAAATGTTTCTCTCGTCGTTCTCTATCACATAGTCAAAGGATTTAATTTTCAAAGGAGCAGTGATTATTTTATGAATTTTTGAAATTTTTAGATTTAAGGCTTCGAAGGGGGTTTTGAGCCAATTGAATTCGGATTCCGGAGTTGACCCTTTGGAACAGTAGAATCTACTCGTCGACGGTTACGTTCCCAATGAACAATTTTCCGTTACACCGCCGTTGACTAGCATTGACTTTTGTTGACCGGCGTTGACTTTTGTTGACGGGCATTGACTTCGTTGACCGGCATTGACTTTTCGAGCCGGGAATATATTTTGGCTACTTTTGAGATAGGGATGCTCTAATTCACAATTTCTTAGGTTCTATGTGAATTTTCCTTCTTAAATTGACTATAAGCATGTTTAATTTCAATTATTTTGACTATGTGATTATGGTTGATTATATGTAAAGTGGTGGACGTATGCTATGTGATAAATGAGTCTGTGAATTTAGTTACATCATTGTAGTGAAGAAGCATGTTTAGAAATGACAAGTTGTTTACTTTATATATTTCAATTGCCATGAAAATTTGATGTCATAATCGTAGAAATAAATGTTTAAAATATTCTTTTACAAGCTGTGATTATGATATGGGTAAAATGTATGGAATATAGTTGTTGAATTTGGCATTTGGAATCATAAAGCATTTATGCATCCATTGAGAAAGAAAAAGGGGAAAAGTATATATTTTTTTTAAAACCAATGAAATTATGGGCAAAAGTTTTTGAAAAGTGTTTGTGAAAACTCGGACGCCTAGGAGACGCCTAGTGGTCCGTGGTGTTAGTATGGTCTAGAGAGGGGACTAGGGAGAGACCCTAGTGTGGTTGAGCTAATCAGGCCAGATGCGACACCTTGGAAGTGCCTTGTGGTCGTGGATGGTTAGCCAATCCCCATTTCGTGACGCCTTGGAGGTGCCTTGGGTCAGATTACACTAACAGTTTGGAAGTTGAAACGGTATGGTTTTGGAAACGGGGAGTGACATTGCATGACATGGCACATCATTGGCATACGTGGTACATTTGATAATTGGTTGAGATATGTATGTTTGTTGATGATATAGTGGTCTTACTTGACTCCCGAGATATGATCCCGTTCTCTTGCTTTCTATTCTCTATGTGGATTCACGGGGTCATAAGAGGTGTGTCTTAGACACTTCCTACTGAGCGTTTAGCTCACCCCATCACTTTAACATTTTTCAGGTTACGGGAAAGAAGTGGCAGATGACGTTCCTCCACAAGTTTTGATGGATTAGTAGACTGTTTGACATATTTTGTAGCTATGGTCTCATTTTATTTATTATTTTTATTATTTATAAATTGAGATGACAAGTATATTATGTATTGATATAGGAAAGGACGGTAACGTTTTTAGTTGACCTCGGGTTCGAGTAAGGACCCGGTTAGCGATTCAGACCTTCGGGTTCGGGTCATTACAAATTTGGTTTCAGAGCAATGGTTCGAAAACCATTAGGACGACAGGTAGAGGCCTACCTAGGGTTGTGTGGGAGGTCATTTGCATTATTTATGTAATTATTTGCTAAAGTGTTTTATTATTTGAAAATGATGCTTAATTGTCTACTTATTTACATGTTTATGTGTTTACGGTTTTGAAAGACATGCTTCTTTGCTATGTGTTTGCACGTTTATATGTTTATATGCCAAAGTTTATGTTATATAGCGGCATAATTAGATGATATAACCGTGTAAATGAAATGTGAAAGAAAAGAAAAGTATGTTGATTGTGTATGAGGATTCTGGTGACGAAAAGTGGTAGGCACGGTGTATGCAGGTCCAATTTAAATATTAATGTGACGAGTAATAAGCACAGTATTGTGATGGTTATTAGGCATGGTTATGTAAGTATTTTAAAATAAATAAATAAATTTAAATGATGGGGTATGATTGTATCATGGGATATGGTTATTATACATATATGTATACCTGTATAGGAGTATGCGGTTGAGCATGGATGGTTGTGTAAGTTTTGACTTGAGTAGGCGAGGGGTTCGGTTGCTCCAGGGTTGTTTGGGTGCTGGTTCTTGTCGAACTAATGGCGTGGGCTTCTAGCTTGTGAATTGAGCTATTTGGCGTGTAGTCAACCTGATCTTTTAAGTTGCATTTTGTGCGGTGCTTAGAGCACGACTTTAAACGGGTTTATATTTCATGGCATGATACCTTTGTTGTGTGTGAGTTTCATGCATTGGTGAATGGGTTCTGGTGACCGTGGAAGTGAGAGTTTAGGTATGACCTTAGGAGGTCAGTGTTTATGACTTAGGTCACGATTTAGTGTAGAGGTTCTTTATGAATCGGTCGTGGTGGGTGTTATAACGGTTGTTAGAGTCACGAGCGTGGTTTAGGGGTCGTAGATCTGTATTTCGGGTTTTCTGGTACGATCTAAGAAAACGTGTTGGTTATGGTTGTTGAGGGGGGGACTTGTTGGACTCTGTAGGTCCAGGGTGACGTAGGCATTGACTGAAGTCATGCCAGTATTGGGTGATCGGCTATTTGATGTGATTCAGTTCGTGGGTTGTAAGAGTTTGTTTTAGAGACTAGTTTGTCAAAGAGTGTTTCATATTTTGGAGAGCTACAAGAGTGTGTTGCAGGTAACTAACTCTCGGTGAGTTGATTGCATTGCTTGGTGGATGAGCGAGATTATAGGTTGTCACGGTTGTCGAGAAAGTCTCGAGGTAGTATATAGTGGTCAGTTTTAGTTATGTAATGCAGGATTACATTATAAGGCAAGTTGTATGTGGTCATTAGTGTATTTAGTCATTTGCAGATGAAATGATTGATGGTAGGTACTGTGTTACCAAATAAACTGTGTTTTAGAAATTGCAAGTTGTGGACTGGAGTTGAATTTTATGTTGCATTTGGGGTATGAAGAAGTAGTGCTAGTTGTTTGAGGATCCGAAGAGGTAGAATGATGATTGGAATGATTAGGATGAAGGTGATCCCATAAGTTTAGTTGGTAGCCTTATTTGACTTTTGTCGAGGCTAAAGGGGGTTCTGAGGAAACGGGGAAGAGGGGGAGTAGTGACGTTGAACCTAGGGTATGAAGCTTTCTTGTTTAGGCATGTAGATTGTCTAAGAAATAGTGGTTTGGGTGGCCAGTTAAGCATTGGTGATTGATTGCATTATAGATGGTTTTGAGGAAATAGTTGGGTGTTAAGCATTCTGGGTTTTATACTCGTTTCTGTTTTAAGGATTTTTCGGAATGGCATTGCCGTATAGAGATTTTTTTCTAGTGGCAAGTAGTGGCAGTTGTGAAAGGTATCAAGAGTAATGTTTATTCTTTTGTTATGATGGTGTCATAGGAAAAATTACTTGGTAGTGACTTGGTGATCTAGTGAGATGTGAGGTTTGAGTCATCATTCGAGGATGATGAAGTAGAGGCGTTATAGCGTGATGTTTAGTATTGATGAGCAGAATGGTTTGGGATATGATCAGAGAGTGGATTGGAGAGTATGAGTTGTTTGTTATATGTTTTCAGGTAGGTGATGGGGGTTGTGCATCAGTCAAGGAGATGATGAGCAGCTTAGTTTTTAGAGCTATTAAGGACGATGTTGCCAGATAGGCACCTTTTTCTTTTGACGACTCAGTGGGTTGTTGTGACTGAGGTCACGAGTCGAGTGTGCACGGTGATCAAGACAGTATCGTATGGGAAGGTAGTGATGGAACGGGTGGTAAAATGTCATTTTATGACATAGGGGTTGTCATT